AAACAGAGGTCCTATTTATACAAGGATCTGAGACCCCACAGCTTTCTTGCTCTATGCAAAATGTACTTTTATTGGGGACTTATCAAGTTATACCCAGTGTAAATTTATTTGCTATCATGCTATACTTCAGGCATTGTTTAAAAGACATCCTGAGTCTCCATGGATTAATTCAAAAAGATGGTAGCATTTTTTCTCCTTGCAGAAAAGAAGGACCAATGTTGTAGATATTTGTTTACTTCCAGAAAAACTCTGGGAATTAGCTTCTACAGACATCATGCAATGTTCATTTTAACATTTCTACCTACCTTTTGTATTATACACACTACAAACAACAATAGGGAGTCATTTTACCTCATTCCAACAAATATATTGAGTGAAAAATACATAAAATGGAGAATAAGTTCAAATTTACCTTTTAGAGGAGGATATAAAATTTTCTAGCCCAGAGACTTTATGAAACTCATAACAATAGCAGGGAGATCCAGTGTTCAAAATATCTCTTCCTCAAGTTGTGAATTGCTTTCAGTAGGTTGCAGTCATTCAGAATTTCCCACTTTGTTACATCCCATTTTTGGCACTTGTCACAGTCAATTCCCTGCCTTATCCTGAGTTTTCAATTGTTCATCCCCAGACTTGGTATACACAATCTACACCTCCTTAGCTATATTTTATATACTAGAGCTTAGTTCTCAAAATGTTTGATTCTTGTGTTATAGCACCAACTTTGTCCAAAAAATGATCAGACAATCTTTTTGCCCAGTTAGTGTACCTGTACCATTTAAATACTTCTAAAATATTCTCATCTTGGCATTTTGATATGTTTGCAGTGTTGGGTAGGTCTACCATTCATTCATTTGTCTAATACCTGAGAGTCAGAACCTCTAGTATAAAGTCCTTTTGTAAAATTTGTCAGGACTTGGGCTTGGAATGGTCAAGGTGGCAAAATCACACAGTGGAGAGTAGTATACATGAAAATGTTCAGGCAATCAAGCATCTTTATCCATTACCTGGGGCTCATGAGATGAAGTCTATCGTTCTTCATGATCAGGATATCACTTCAGTCACCCATTTTTGGGTACCTATGAGGTACATCAATTCCTTGATTTAGGGTACCTTGAGGGTACCCATTCCGGGGTGGTATATGAGCTCCATACCAATACCATGGTACCATGGAATGGAAAACCCATACCATACCCCACTCATACCAATACCATGTTACCATACCATACCAATACCATGTCACCATACCATACCAGATGGTATGATGTCTTCATACCATCATACCAAAGCTGACATAGGGTGTCTGGGGTCCTTTTCCAAAATATAAAAATTATTTCTGCAGGCTGCAATACTCGTCCATTGGGTGCCATTTTTTGTGGGGTGGTTCTCCAGGTTTTTCCTGAGATATTAGGCTACAAATTGAGGCCAGATAGTCCAAACCATCTATTGAAAATGAGTTTAAATAGGCTTTATCCCAGATTTCCCATGCATCCAAAGCCATTTAATGATACATATCTTTCCCAATCCTTTCTATTAAAACAATATTCATCCAAATCAAACAAAACCACATCTATTGTGATGAAGTGGTCATAGAGAAGAAAAGAAAAGTGAAAAGGCTTTCAGGTTTTTGCTAAGATTTCCAATTCCAAGTGGAGGCCAGATAGTGAACTCCAACCTTTAAAAATCAGTTCAATTGAGGGTTTTTTCATTCCTGAAAAGCCATTAATATGAATGCTTTCAATAATAGGTTAAATATATTTTGCCCAGTAGGGCCAATCAGACAGTCCTGCCTACTTACATAGCATACACATATAGTATGGCCAACAACACCATCATATAATCTCAATTTTCTTAAACACTACATATGTTGGAATCAAGTATTGTTGTCCTGAGTGTTTGGCCAAAGTCAAAGTTTAGTAATGAAAAAAGCGCACATTAGTAATTTTTGTAGTGAAAAAGCGGACAGTACAAACCAAACTGATATTATGTGATGACTTTCCAAATTAGGAAATATGCGAACATCGTCATAAACAATGACAACACTAAGCTAGCCACTAACTCCAGTGGCCCAAAGAGCATGGGAAACAGTTCCCAACCTAAATGTGCATTGTGCCTGACATTAGGTGTGGCAGAAAAAAGTGTAACGCTTTTCCCAATTAGGAAATGGCCGAATTAGGAAATAGTGCGCACATCATCATTAACAATGACAACACCATGCTAGCCATTAACTCTTCTGGCCCAAAAGGCGTGGGAAACAGTTCCCAACCTAAATGCGCACTGTGCCTGACATCAGCTGTGTCTAAAAAAAGTGTAACGCTTTTCCCAATTAGGAAATCCCAATTAGGAAATAGTGCGGACATCGTCATGAACAATGAGAACACTAAGCTAGCCACTAACTCCAGTGGCCCAAAGAGCATGGGAAACAGTTCCCAACCTAACTGCACACTGTGCCTGACATTAGGTGTGGCAGAAAAAAGTGTAACGCTTTTCCCAATTAGGAAATGGCCCAATTAGGAAATCATCAAAGCGGACACTACAAAATTTTAGCCTCACTTCAGTCAAAGCTATTGGTAAATATATATAAACAAACTTCGAAATGAGGGTTTTCTGCCTTCCTCTGCCTAAATAAAAATAGGTTATGGTTCCTGATACCATGGTATGGTATGAGGGTGCATGGTATGGTATGGTATGGGAGTGTGATACCATGGTATGGTATGGTATGGGAGTGTGATACCATGGTATGGTATGGTATGAGGGTGCTATACCATGGTATGGTATGGTATGGGAGTGTGATACCATGGTATGGTATGGTATGAGGGTGCAATACCATGGTATGGTATGGTATGGGAGTGTGATACCATGGTATGGTATGGTATGAGGGTGCTATACCATGGTATGGTATGGTATGGGAGTGCGATACCATGGTATGGTATGGTATGAGGGTGCTATACCATGGTATGGTATGGTATGGGAGTGCAATACCATGGTATGGTATGGGATGGTATGGTATGGTATGGTATGGGATGGGATGGAATTGCAATACCATGGTATGGTATGGTATGGGATGGGATGGGATTGCAAAACCATGGTATGGTATGTTATGGGAGTGCAATACTATGGTATGGTATGGTATGAGAGTGCAACATGGGATT